AGGCGAGGGAAATTTAGGGAACTTTTTGGCACTGTGCTCTTTACTGTGATAGGAACTAAGAACTTTTTTCAGTAGGCCCATCTACATGTAAAATTAATTTTTAATTATTAAATTTAATTAAAATCACATTAATTAAATTAAAAATATATATAAAATAGATAATTTTTTTATATAAATTTAATAAGTAAAAATAAAATATTACTGAGAACTCATTTTTTTAATCCTACTAGAAAAATTCCAAAGAACTAACAATAGGCCTACACATATATACTTTACTATTTTTGTTATTATTATAATTGACTACAACTAACGTGCCTATGCTATAACTCTATATATATATACACGCACACCTAGGTAAGGTTGTAGCAGATTGGAAACTGTTTGTGAGACTATTATTGGGCATCCAAATCAGATCATGTGTGTGCAAGTGTGCAACCTTATTTGTGCCGTTTTCCTCTTTAGATTCCAAATGCAGGAAGTCTGTTTTCTTACTCCAAGTGGAGGGCCATAATACTTTCCATTTTATAAACTAATAGTAAGGAGATGTTTAGTTCATAGATTAGAATAATGAGATTAGAATCACTTTTTATTTATGTATATTTTTTATGAGATAAAATACTGTAACGAATCATGAACCATGATTCAAATCGGAGTACGAATTCCCCAACTAAATAACTCCTAACTCAAGCAAGAGGATACACATAACTATTTACTATATATATTATTTATTTGTTTATAATAATTCTGCTCACAATCCACGAGACTGTCTTGTATAATGTATACATGGCTTGAGGGGTTTTTTTTTTTTTTTTTCTTTTTTCATTTGTTCTTATCTTTTAATTTCCTACCAATTGCAAATGACCCATGCAACGAATTGGGTAAAGGAGAGGGAAAAAAAGGATGAAAAGTTATACATTATCAAAGCTTTTTTCGATCTTCTTATAAAGGAGAACATATTAAGCTCTCCATATTTTAAAAATTCTCATAATATTCTTTATCTATTTCTCTCCTCATTTTTTCTCATTTTCTGATATGAAAACACTTTCTCAACCCTAGCTCTTTTCGTCTCATAAAAACCCAGACAAAAGACATATTTAAAGACTCTCAATAGATCACAATTTTAACCCTAGCCAAGCTCACAAAGTAACAAAAGATTTACGACTTTACTTAATTGCGATTTTAATGTCTATGATCGAGGAATCTAGTAGCAAATTTTTCGATGCAGGCTCGCATACATACATACAGACATACATATGCATACATACATATAGCTAATTGTAATAACAATTCTTTATTGCCTTTTATATGACCTTAATAGTCCTCAGAAATAGTGACCTTCATAATTGTTCAGTGGCAACTTATAATTTACTATTAAGGTGCCAAACTTTTGATGATGTATACTAAAATAAATTAATGAATATTACGTATTTTTAATATTTTTTTGCTTAAAAGGTTGTTTGGTTGGAGGATTCGTTCCCTGATTCGAATCACGGTTCGTGATTCGTTATAATATTTTTTCTCATAAAAAATACACATAAATCAAAAATAATTTTAATCACATGGTTTTAATCTACGAACTAAATATCTCCTAAGTACGCATTTTTAACACAAAGGAATTAGCAATATTTCGAATAATATACTGAGGAGATGATAATTTTAAACCTGAGGTTTTTAAGGTTCAAAGTCCAATACTACATAGCACATTTTTCTGTCTCATTTATTCCGGTCGCATTTTCCCCGACATGATTACAATCTCTCAGCTTATACAGTACTATTTACGTTCTTGTAGTCTAGTCTCGTATTGCTTTCAAATATTCTGCTAAATTAAAACCCAACTCGTAAAATTAGTAGTCATTGTTTTACATTCTTCTACTATAGTTTTTTTTTTTTCAGAAATAAGAAAAATTAATGTGGCACAATATGTAACATAAATTATTTTAATTTTTTTTAAAGAAAAAAGAGGAGTAAAAAATCTAATTATAAACTCGCCAATTAACAGTATGGTTGTATCCAAATCTCTAAGCTTGTTTTACTAAATGCTAAGAATCAAAGCTGGAAATGGGTACAATCACCTCAAAATCTTATGATTAATTTTATTATTTATTTCTTATCATCGTCACTAATATATATTAAAAATGTACTTTTGAGTTAATTGTCCAAAATCATAGATATATCATATATAGGAGATTGTATGCAAACTACAAACTACCGAGGCAATTGCTTTGAAGGTTCCACCATACGTACGTTGTGGCCATCAAAAATATGTAGATCACTCCTACCAAAAAGAAGAAAGGTATACAAACAAATCTATCTTCTTTCTCGTTGTCCCCATCTTCCCATGCCAATTTCAGTCAGAAATAATAATAATTATTATTATTATAATTATTATAATAATAACAATAATACGAGAACCTATAACAAATTTTCTCAATTACTTCTTTGCTTTTGCTGAAAAAAACAATTAATTTGTATGCGTATATATATGCACGGCGTATATATGTGTATGAATCCAACGTTAACTACCATATACAGTAATCCCACCTAGTGTTGCTGTTATATAACGTTAGTTACTGACCAAACGCGTAATGTTTCGTATATTTTTATTATTATCTATTACAAAGCACTAGCTATTATTTGTCGTCATTAGTGATTTATGTTTCATAAAAAGTACACTGTTAGTGACAATTTTGATTCAATATACATGATGAGTGTATTAACAATGTCAACAACAATAATAAATAGAAATAACATTTCTTTAAATCATAATAACATATGTTGTCAAAATGCAAATTATCTATAAAAATTAATACCCCTAAAAATGTCAAAATATAAAAAATAAACAGAGTACGCAGAAGAAATCACTGTCTAACTAGCGTCACTGAAATATTTTTAACCATTTCGCTATTTCTTTTCATTCATAAACACTGGATTCTTGTTAAGGGGACTCATATATATAACGTTTATAGTAGCATTTGTTTCTGTTTAGCATGCATTTAGTCATTAATAAAAGTGAGTAGCTAGAAATGAGCCATTTCACAGATCTTTTTCCCCCCCCGGAATTCATGTAGCTTTTGCACAACAATGAAACACATGCAATAAAATTTTCTGATGAGTTTATAGTTGAGTGATTGAAGTCAATATAAATTTATTAAAAAAAAATAGAATAAAGAAATTGATACAGTAGTACTCTCGAATAAAAAAGAAAGTAATTGCAGAATAATACCAGCGGACATTAGAGTTCTAGACTAATCATTTACTGAGCATAACTTCAATTACAAGTTATTCCATTAAAATGACACTTAAATTAACCAAAGCCTAAAAAGGGATCCTTCTACAGTGTTAATGCCGCATTGCTACAAGTTACGCATATATATCACATCTAATCTAAAATTCTAAAAAGTACTTGAAAAGAAGTTTGCGCAAATATAAGCTGTCATCTTGGATTAAAAGAGAGCTCGAATAGTGGAGTTTTTCCGGCAATCAAATTGTATAGAAGGAAGGGGAAAATAGGCTTTCACATCATTCTAGACATTAAAATTAGATAAATGATACAAATATAATTTTGCAGGACTCAATTTCATTCTAATTATGTATTAAACATTAAAAAAAAGAAATTTGTATGATAGGAACTATCTAATTATTTAATTACCGCTTGGAACTGCTTTTTAGTCGTTAGTTAAATTAATTTTTTAACAGTCTAATTCATGATTGGAAGTTATTATGTGACATGAGACCAAACCATTGAAAAATTTATCTAATGTCTAAAACAACAAATCCTGTATATCATAGGTTAAAATGTTAGTTCCAACCGTAAAAGTTCCTTAAATAAATATATGATTATAAGGCAGGAAGCTGAAAAAAACCTATTGACAAATACAATTCTAAACCATTAAATTTTTATTAAGGTCTATTGAGTTTGTTTACAGTCTCACCGGCACGACAATCACACTATTATAACACGTACAAATAAAAATATAACATTACATTTATTTAATATAATAACAGTGTTAAAAACATGAGACACTGAAATAATATTAATTACTTCCGACTATTATAATTACACCTTTCTAACGTCTAATATTTTATTAAATAATTAAGGACCCGTTCAATTAACGATTCGAGTTTTGTTATAGTAAAAAATTTTTAAAAATAATTACATTTAATTTTTTTATTGTAATAAAAAGTTCTCATATAAAATTATATCTTAATTCAAATTAAAAGAATTTGAATCAGCAAATTAAACGTGTCTTAAATTAAAGTGTAATAATAGTATGTGATAGCTAAATTTCTTGGAACAAATTATGTAGCACAGATATTTCTTAAACTTTTTTTTTTTTTTGGGGTAGCTAAGGATTGTTCTTTTGTAACAAAATTCAAAAAAAATTTAAACTCAAGTTCACGTTTTTTTAAGTTCTAATTTTATTTAATTTTACTTAATTTTATTCAAATTACAACTTTAATTAAATTATAACTCAAATTTAATTTAAAATATTACACTCAAATCACATTCTAAAAGAATAAGTCTTAAATTTCTTAGAACAAATTATGTAGCACAGATATTTCTTAAACTTTAATTTTTTTTTGGTGGGGGTTATGTTCAGTACGACATGATATGTGATTAGAAAAGGAGAAAAAATGGCTTGGAAATCTTCAAAGAAGCCAGGAAATAGGAATTAGTACTAGCTAGTTGATCTTGATGATGGTGAGTGGTTGGTTGCACGCGCTGATGGGTGAGGTTGTGATGTGCGTAGGAATCTACCTATGGTCACATCATCTCTGTTCACTGCCAAACTTGTCCTATTATGGCAAAACACTCGGTTGTCATCTTTACTTCTTACCTCAACTCCCAGTCTTCGTGTGCACAGAACTGAAAACCCCCCTCTTGAGTCTTGACTCACTGCTTGACCATCTCTCTCTCTCCTCTACAATTTAACTCTCTGTTTGCTTTGCCTTTTCCTGAAAAGAGAGAACATTATGATCTGAAACCCTATTCGCACCCCCCCCCCCCCCCCCAAAAAAAAAAAAAAAAAAAAAAAAAAAAAAAACTTTTTTCCTCAGAAAAGATCATCCGAACACACCCAATAACTGCAGTTTTCAAGATCTCTTTCGCCAGACTGTTCATTGCTCAAAACAAAGCAAATACCCTTTTAATTCCCAACCCCAAACCAAAGCTAGATAGTGAAGTCCACAAGCGATTCTTTTATTCTCTTCCCAATTAATTTCCCCATCTCTCTTAATTTTCCCCTCCATACATCCAATCCAACCCCCTCTGACATATAGATATATATGGAAACAATGCAACTGCAAAATCTAGCAACAATCTAGCTAGTCCTTCAATCAAATTCCCGCTTTTAGCACCAAAATGAGAGATTCACCTCCATCATCATAACCAACTATAGCCAACAAACCCTAAAATCATCAAAAACCAAGAGTCAGCTAAGGAGATCCAACCAAAAAAAAAAAAAAAAACAGAAAAGAAAAATCACCAATATTGTTGTTGTTATCATATGGACATAGTCTCAGAACCCACAAATAATCGTCCCTCCATGATATCCACCACAATGAACAACCACAACCACAACCACAACCACAACGACATGATCTCCTCATCATCTATACTACTCTCTCCCACTACCAGTGGCCCCAGTACCGTCAGCGCAGCAGCAGCCGCCACAGCGGCTGGTGCGACGACACCGAGCCGGTACGAGAACCAGAAGCGGAGGGACTGGAACACCTTCTGCCAGTACCTCCGCAACCACCGCCCACCGCTGTCCCTCCCCATGTGCAGCGGCGCGCACGTTCTGGAATTCCTCCGATACCTCGACCAGTTCGGAAAAACCAAGGTCCACAACCAGACCTGCCCCTTCTTCGGCCTCCCCAAC